TTAATTTTAATTATATATATATACTATATATATATATATATATATATATATAGTAGATTATATCATATATATATATATAATATATATATATGTTCTCATATATATATATATATATGTATATGAAGACTTCCCTATCAAAAGAGAATTACCTTTTCTGTATTGAGGGGAGAAGAAATTTGTGTCTGTGGGGTTTGGCTGCATTGTGCCAAGGCTATCAGTTCCTTCTGACTTTCTCTAGCATCTACTAAGAATATACTCTCCTTCACTTCCTTCGCGTTATATTCATCAATTCTAAAAATAATAGTAAAAATGTGAAATATATACATATACATACAATAAATTATTTCAAACGAAATAGTTAATATCTCAAATATCTCAAATTTAATTATTAATTTTTGATTTGAATATTGGATTTATATTTATCATATTACTTACTTATCATATATGATTGCATGTAAACCGAGTTTTTTCAGATACTGAATAGTATCCTTATCATTATTATCGTCACCCCAGCAGAAGATGATTAATCCCGCGTCCTTAACTAATTTAACTTGGGATGGGTCACGAAGAATATCTTCAGTATGGACGTTAATCCCTAGAATATCCGCGGCCAACGCGTGCCTCATCGCCATTGGTATCGTCTGGCATCTCGGGTCGTGATAAGTCGGATACTTTGATGTAATGCCTTGCGTTAAAAATACTACCGGATACTTATTTTGTTTAAGACGGATCATTGCACAAATATCCGGGTTGAATGAAGAAAATACGATTTTACGGTCGCCTCCGTATTCTAATACTACTTTTAGGATAATATCTAGGTACATGTTGAGATCGAAAGGATGATTGAGCTCGAACGTGCCATCCTGATGATAAAAATCAACTTTAATCTATTATTATCAGAATTAATATCAGAAAAAAAGAATATTGACAAAAATATTCTTACCTTCAATTGCATAGTCCACTTAATTTCTATATTGCACCCAACGTGCTGTTCGAGTTCTTGGAGCACAGTTTGTAACGTAGGGAAAGGTTGATGATCTTCCAAATCCTCATCAAAGAATCTTGGATTCTTCTCTCGGCCTTCGGCCACGTGATAAACCTGAAAGAAATCTCATTAATAAAATGTATACAATGTCCTTTTAATCGTAAAAGTTGATAAAATAGATTATATTGTCGTTGACGTAACGAATGTAGAAAGCAAGACAAAATAATCATACTGGCTTTATGCAGATATATCTTTTTAATTTCGTGCCGTTTGTGACATATTAGTAGTGCATGCCATAATAAACATATAAAATTGTACAAGATGCATTGGAAACATTTTGGGACTGAGTTGTAGAAAAATTATTAAAAAAAAAATTTTCATTTCAATATTCGAAAAGATATTTTAATAAAATCTTTTCTCTCTCGATAATTTATCGTTAATATTATTACTCAGTCCTGAAATTGTATTTTCGCACTTTGAACGAGGATTAATTCAAAGGGTGAGCATTTATATATAGTCGTATAGGGAGTGAAACTGGTGATTGGCAATTTTATTAAGAATATAAATTGTTTAAAAATATTATAGAAACAACTCCATGAATGTTACTTTTGCGTTTGTATAATGATTTTACTGGACTTACTATAAGTTATCAGACTGAATGTTCATCGAATATTTTTTGTTTATAGGACCGACTTGATAAAAAATAAGTTCTGCAAATGTGAAATTAATTGCGACGCTCAGTTTTAAATTTGTACATCAAAGAGTTTTGCTATTGAGAGTCACATGAATATCAGACGTACAGAAATAGATGTTAATTTAGAACTGCAGCAAATTTTATTATTGAAATTCATGTCCGAAAATAGAGAAAAAGAGATAAACATTCAATTTTAGCTTCTAAGAAAAGCATAACATTGCATATTGAGAAAGAATTATCATTTCTCATAGCAATAGTATTCGAAATATTGATCGATTTGATTGCTTGGTATTGCTTTTGAAAAAAAGCATGCAAATCGAATGAGTATACTGTTATACATTTTTAGCGACGAGTTAGCCGGCACAAGCGGTATGAAAGCTCACCAGTCTGTTAACCTGTTCAGCTTTATCAACGAAATAGAGCACCTTACCCAACGAGTCTTCAGGGTAATAATAATCCTGTTGAATTAAAAAATAGACAAATACGAAAGAGCATGTCACTTTTGAATGTTGGTGTATGAGCTGATGGTCATTTACATATGACATACTCCTGCGTAGTAATCTACTTTTCCTTTATTAAGATGAAATGGACATAAAAAGCGAAACATTGATACGCGAAGCATTCCCGTAAAGATATATCCCATTGTCATTCAACTAATGTTACATGACAACTATGGTTGCATTTGTTAATTAATAATAAGCTAATGGAAGACTTACTAATTAACAAAAAAATATAATCTAGACTGGGAAATTCCAATAATTACATAATTATTCATTTCATAATTATTTTATAATTATTCAATTACATAAGCATTCAATACATATAATCTCAAATATATTTTTTATCATCTTTTAAAAATTAGATTTATCTTTTTAAATAATAATAATATATTATAACATTTTATAATATTTTGTAGTATAAGATCTTCCATTGACTTAATTAATTGTATGTTCCAAAAGCACAATATCACAATCTCTAAATATAGTTTAACATATAATTATTTTCCATAAATATTAATTTGTATTATAAAAATATAAAACATACACGTTTATTTAAAACTCAATTGTCAAATACACATACAGATTATTACTGTATTAATCAACATTACTATATTTATCAACAAAATTGATATATTTATATCGTAACAACATATAAATATAAGAATAAATAGGAATAAATATGTATATGTTCAAAAATGCAGAAAATGAAAATGCATGACATAAGAGGTATTGTAATTAATTGACATAAGAGTAACTAATTAGTACCTTGAGTAGATGGAGCTGTTCTAAAGTGAGATCCTTGACGGGTATCTCCAGCATGTCCATTGCCTCTATCTGCTTTTTACGTTTCATCGAGATGGATACATAAAAATCGTGATAGATTACAGGTATAAAGTCTTTCGACAGCTGAACATCGAACTCGACCATATCAGCACCATGATATGACGCAGTCTTCAAAGATGCGACCGTGTTCTCGCGTACATTAGCACAGCTATAAAAAGATTTTGTTTTCCAAAGATTAGAATATAATATATAATAATTTCATAAGAAAATTATAAATATACGAAATTTTATAATTACGGAAATTGTCATACATAAGATAATATTTGTGTATAAAAACTCACTTTTTTGTTCAAATTTGAAAGATGTGCCAAGTCCTCTGTGTCCTACATCTAAGCCTGACCAA